CTCCAACTGTCCCCCAGGTGTATCCTATCCTGGGCTAGTCTCTCCAACTGTCCCCAGGTGTCCTGGGCTAGTCTCTCCAAATGTCCCCAGGTGTATCATATCCTGGGATAGCCTCTCCAAATGTCCCCAGGTGTATCATATCCTGGGCTAGTCTCTCCAAATGTCCCCAGGTGTATCCTATGTTGGGCTAGTCTCTCCAACTGTCCCCAGGTGTATCCTATCCTGGGCTAGTCTCTCCAACTGTCCCCAGGTGTCCTGGGTTAGTCTCTCCAACTGTCCCCATGTGTATCCTATGTTGGGCTAGTCTCTCCAACTGTCCCCAGGTGTCCTGGGTTAGTCTCTCCAACTGTCCCCATGTGTATCCTATGTTGGGCTAGTCTCTCCAACTGTCCCCAGGTGTATCCTGTCCTGGGCTAGTCTCTCCAACTGTCCCCAGGTGTATCCTGTCCTGGGCTAGTCTCTCCAACTGTCCCCAGGTGTATCTTATCCTGAGCTAGTCTCTCCAACTGTCCCTAGGTGTATCCTATCCTGGGCTAGTTTTTCCAACTGTCCCCCAGGTGTATCCTATCCTGGGCTAGTCTCTCCAACTGTCCCCATGTGTCCTGGGCTAGTCTCTCCAACTGGCCCCAGGTGTATCCTATCCTCTTTTCCAGGTCACGTCTCCAGATCTTCCTTGGTCGGCCTCTTTCTCTTGCCCTGTGGATTCTAGGTGAGAGCCTGTCTTGTTATCCTAATTTTGTGGCCAATCCATCTCTACCCCAATCACCAAAACCTCCAATCACCACAACCTCTACCCCAATCACCACAACCTCTACCCCAATCACCACAACCTCTACCCCAATCACCACAACCTCCAATCACCACAACCTCTACCCCAATCACCACAACCTCTACCCCAATCACCACAACCTCTACCCCAATCACCACAACCTCCAATCACCACAACCTCTACCCCAATCACCACAACCTCTAATCACCACAACCTCTACCCCAATCACCACAACCTCTACCCCAATCACCACAACCTCTACCCCAATCACCACAACCTCTACCCCAATCACCACAACCTCTACCCCAATCACCACAACCTCTACCCCAATCACCACAACCTCTACCCCAATCACCACAACCTCTACCCCAATCACCACAACCTCTACCCCAATCACCACACCCTCTACCCCAATCACCACAACCTCTACCCTAATCACCACAACCTCTACCCCAATCACCACACCCTCTACCCCAATCACCACACCCTCTACCCCAATCACCACACCCTCTACCCCAATCACCACAACCACTAATCGCCATCACTTCTACACTAGTCTCCACATCTCTACCATAATCGCCATTACGTATAGTCTCAGCATTGAGGATGTCATCTGGTAAATGATATCTTCCATATTTCCCCCTTTGAACCTAATGGTCCATTGGGCTGGTAAAGTAGAGTTTATCTGTTTGTGTGTGTATTCGGCGTCTGTAACTAAAGTGTGGTCAGCGCTACACCCGGCCGCCTTTACTGTCCCCTAACGTAACTCATCAGAGCTGGGGTAGTTCAAACGGACTCGAGCCTTACATACCCTCTACTACCTGACCACGACTTCCCATATGTAATATTGTTCGATATAAACCACACCCTCTATAAACCTTACCGATCTCGTTTTTTTTCCTTCTTTTACAGATCCTCAAGAACTATTGTATTTTCTCGTCTACTAAGTATGAACATGTGGAAGAGCCAAATTGAACTATGATAAGTTTTAATTTGGTAAGCCAAAGATGTATTTAACCACTTGTTCAGTAATGGGCATGTAACAATAGAAACGACATTAATTACATAGAAAAACAACGGGGGGGGGGGGGGCGGAGGGGAGTTGTTAACACTTTCTAAGAGGCAGGGATTAATATTTGTGGGTCATTCGATACAGACCCATCTTAATGGTATCGCATATGTGTTTGACTCGCTTTGATGGTATCTCATACGTTTTTTACCCACTTTGATGGCAACTCATACGTGTTTGACCCTCTTTGATGGTATATGTCATGTTTTTTACCCACTTTGATGGTATATGTCATGTTTTCGATCCGTCTTGATGGTGTATGTCACTAGTTCTCTCCGCCTTTTGATATTCTGATATAGCGGTTTCCTAAAGTTTAATCAAAATGACATCTAGATCTAAAGTTCGATTAAGAAGACATCTAGAATTTAAGTTCAATCAAGATGAAATCTAGATCTAAAGTTTAACCAAGATGACATCTAGATTTAAAGGCTAATCAAGATGACATCTAGATTTAAAGTTTAATCAAGATGACATCTAGATTTAAAGGTTAATCAAGATGACATCTTAATTTAAAGGTTAATCAAGATGACATCTAGATTTTAAGTTTAATCAAGATGACATCTAGATTTAAAGGCTAATCAAGATGACATCTAGATTTAAAGTTTAATCAAGATTACATCTAGATTTAAAGTTTAATCAAGATGACATCTAGATTTAAAGGTTAATCAAGATGACATCTTGATTTAAAGGTTAATCAAGATGACATCTAGATTTAAAGTTTAATCAAGATGAAATCTACATTTAAAGGTTAATCAAGATGACATCGTGATTTAAAGTTTAATCAAGATGACATCGTGATTTAAAGTTTAATCAAGATGAAATCTAGATCTAAAGTTTAACCAAGATGACATCTAGATTTAAAGTTTAATCAAGATGACATCTAGATTTAAAGGTTAATCAAGATGACATCTAGATTTAAAGTTTAATCAAGATGACATCTAGATTTAAAGTTTAATCAAGATGACATGTAGATTTAAAGGTTAATCAAGATGACATCTTGATTTAAAGGCTAATCAAGATGACATCTAGATTTAAAGTTTAATCAAGATGACATCTAGATTTAAAGGTTAATCAAGATGACATCGTGATTTAAAGTTTAATCAAGATGACATCGTGATTTAAAGTTTAATCAAGATGAAATCTAGATCTAAAGTTTAACCAAGATGACATCTAGATTTTAAGTTTAATCAAGATGACATCTAGATTTAAAGGCTAATCAAGATGACATCTAGATTTAAAGTTTAATCAAGATGAAATCTAGATTTAAAGGTTAATCAAGATGACATCTAGATTTAAAGTTTAATCAAGATGACATCTAGATTTAAAGTTTAATCAAGATGACATGTAGATTTAAAGGTTAATCAAGATGACATCTTGATTTAAAGTTTAATCAAGATGACATCTAGATTTAAAGTTTAATCAAGATGACATCTAGATTTAAAGTTAGACATTAGTTTTGTAATACAGTTGCTACGACTGTTTTGATAGGTGGGTGCCACAGTCACGTGGGATAGGGAGATGCGATTCGTATGGTTTTCTTACTTTCTGGATCTGCCCTCAACTACTCACACACAGAAAGGTTCATAACTTGAGGGGGTCGTCAACGTTTTTTTTTTCGATTACCTACCCTTACCCTAACTCCCTCTTGTTTACAAAATTCTACTTTTTACTTTCTCGTATACAGAGTATAGAGAAAGAATTGGAACAGTGTTTCTTCCAGGCTTTATTCTCCGGGGGGGGGGGGGGCACTTGAAATTTTCGGGGGGGGGGGGGGGCGGTAGACTTTCGTCGGGGGGGGGGGGGGACACTGTTAAAAGCACATATTTTCTATATAAATTATATAAATTTCATTTCCTTTCGGAAGAGATGCCTGGAAGAAACTCTGAATTGGAATCGTGCAAAAAAAAATCGAGATTTTTGCAAATCTCGACGTTTTACACCTCACTGAGTCGGAAAAACATAGTTTTTGCAATCTTGTCCGTATGTCTGTTTGTGTGTGTACGTGTGTGTGTGTGTGTGTGTGTATGTGTGTCTGTGAACACAATAACTTGAGTGCCGTTACAGCTAGGTTGATGAAATTTTATATACAAGTATTATATTAAATTTGTAGTTCTGTGTCAACTTTTCAGCTATTTTCGATAACCGGAAGTGGAACTTATTCTACTTTCAATTTTTCAAAAGCCTATAACTTGAGTACTGTTTCAGACCGATAAATGAAATTTCACAAGTAAGTAAAATATCTAAGTTTCCGTTTTTTTGTCAAATTTTTAGTAATATTCGTTGACCGGAAGTAGTAATTTACGTTATTTCTGATTTCTCAAAAAACGCATGTGATTTTATAAATTACTAATAATATTCCGCACTATTACACACAGATTGGCGTTAACTTTGTGCGCAATTCTTTTTTTTTCTATTTTAAAAAGGTTAAGTAATTAAAAATTGTTTAAAAATCATGTCTATATCCCGAGTTGCCATCCCCCGTAGTGTTATATAAGAATATTCGAGAAAGTTTAGGGGAGATCATTCCCGGTTTATTTAAAACAGTTATTTCTTGCTAAAATTGAACTGGGTTAAGATTAGGTTTATAAGTAAGGTAGTTAAGTTCACTTTCAAACAGGACGTTCCATTGGACTAGTGAAGTAGAGTTCACCTGTTTCTGTGACCTCAGGATATGAATGGATAGTGTGGTCAGCACACTGCTCAGTCGCCTTTACTTTCCCAAACGTGAGTCTCGTGTAGTCAGGTACCCATCTGAGCTGAGTGGACTCAGAGACGCTCTGCGGACTTGAGTCCGTATTTAAACTCGAGACTTACAGGTTAGCTGTCATTTGCTCGACCACTCGACCACAAGGTGCCATTATTGGTGAAATTTTAATATTTACAACACAAAATTATACACAAAATAACTGAAAAATAACAGCAAAAATGTAGAAAAAAAATGTTTTTTTTTTAAATGCAAAAAGTCGATTCCATTACGTCACCGTATTTATGAAGCTGATTAAGTACTTATGCTATGCTAAAAATATAGCTCATAATTATTTTTTCATAATTTATTCTCAGTTCATTTTCCTGATTTGTGTTTGGCTCGTTCAATTGGATTCTTCCGAGACGGATTGTGGGGAGATAACCCCTATATTCCAACTTCCACTAGACCTATATCAG